TCTAATATTTTATCTATTCACAACTATTTCAACTCAAGAGTCAATACTATGAGGGCTACTTTGAAATTCAATAAAAAATGTGAGATATCGTGTTAAATTGTTTATCTCTTATAGAGTATACAGTAAAAAAAAAGTATACAATGAGACCATTAGTCTCTAGTACAAAGTAGTCGCAATTAATCTAAGATCATTGGGTATACGATTAGGTGGCTGCATTTATTTCTATTGACCAAGCTCAAATTTCAAAAGAATTTTTTTTTAATTTTGTTACACACACAAGCTATTAGGTTTCACATTCGATGGTTGTAAGTAATTGTGACATCCTTGCATTAAAAATAAATGGTCTCATTGTATACAATCTATATAATAATTTGTCTTTGCTATTACGTAGGTTACATTTTTCAAAATCCATGAAGGAAGAGTATAAGATGTCACAGGAGTAATTTGTTATTGAATTAGTGTACTATGAGACCGTTCATCTTTGTTACAAGGAGATCACAATTGTACCTAACCATTAGATGTTAAATTGGATGGCTTGGGGTATGTTGTGAAGTTCGAAGAATTTTTTTTCGAACTTTGAGTCTAGTCAACGATACATTTGTAACCACCCGATTTGAAATCTTACGAACAATAGTAATTGTAACATCTTTGTACTAAAATTAAGTTGTCTCTTTGCATATGTTTCCTTTTCTATTTTACGCCTTCATCATTAACAAAAAAAAAAAAAAGGTTTGGTGGGGCTTCAGCCCTATCAAAATGAGTAAAGCTTCACCTCATAATTCATCCAAAATTACAATTCAAGCATTGGAAAACCTTTACATCGATCATCTTGACTTGAACATTATGGTCGTGAAAAAATTTCAGATTGCAAGCTCTAAAAATAGTGTATATTGTAACAAATTATCTAGACCGCCTATTTTGCCCAAAAATAAATGTCACATAACCGCAAGATATGTACTATTTTTTAATATCAAAACTTTAATTGTTGATGTTGAAAATTGATTTTAGAACTACCATGGAGATTCTTTTGCCAAACGTGCTTTATAGACTAGTACATAAAATGGTAATAACCAGTGATATTGGTATATTTCAATGGGTGACGTAATGAGATACTGGTATTGGTATATTTCAATGGGTGACGTAATGAGAAATTAATGTTTAAAAATATCAATATCTCAGTGGACGACTTTTTGGTGAGATATTTTAGCATACAAAATGGTAATATCCAGTTAGGTGTGTGGTGTGAGACAATGTCTTTGGAAACATCAATATCGTTTAAAAATTAATGGCATGAGGTATTGATATTCAACTACCAATGTCTTTAAGAATGATTTTGTGAGATAGTGATTCGTAAAAACGTTAATATCATAATAATTCATAATTGATAATATCTCATAAGGTATTGAGTGTCTCCTATGGGTGGTTTTCTTTAAAGGGAAAACTTGAAAACTGACCTGACAATAATTTCTTATACATTATCTATCCATAAAGAAATGTGCCCTCTAGAACGTTTGAAAATAAGATTGGAAATTTGGATGCCATGATAAATAGTGCATCTCTTGACGATTGTTCGATAAATTTCTCCTAAGAAGAGGGAAGAAAAGAAAGCGTATTTAGAAATCAATGTTTACAGTTTTGTCTAACCCAATTTGAGGTGGACCTGAGTAAGTTATTGGGATGCCTGACTGAATGTC